GGATCCACTTGTGTTGGGAATACTGCAAACTAGTGGCGCCTACGCCAACAAGGAAGGAACTGCCTGGAATGTCTGTCTTAGACAAAGAGCCACCCGGATGTGCAGAGTCGTTTCAGGGAAGACCTTGATGGCAGAAATCGGCTCGTTAGTCAGAAAATATTTGTATCAATCTCTGCTGCAACAACCAGTTCTGTGCTCAACGTCCTCAACAGAAAGATGGGAAGTTATCATATTTTACAGTAAATCTGAATGTATGCCAAGAATTACTAGAATTCAAGGACATAGTTTAAATTAAGCTCTCATTCTGATGCTTCATCACACTCACATAACTGAACAGATGAAACGGGTACATGTTAAAGATGCCCTGGACTGTGTTGTGGGTATGAGGGGCACGTAAGATGGATTTAACAAGCCATTTGCATTATTACTTCATGCTCAATAATAATAGTTGAGAATTAACCTTTTCTGCTTTCATTCAGATTCAGAAGGGGGTCTCGAAAGCTAACAGGTGCTGGCCCACCGCAAGCACCCAATGGGCATGCGTGGGTAGATGGTTATTCATGACCATGTTCTGTTTTCAGCTTTCTGCAATCATTTTTACCACAAGAGTAAAAAATATGCAAGGAATTCAGGGAGTAGCTCAAAGTAGGTATTTGTCATATTTATTGGAACATGATACATGCTTTACCAGAATTCCCCTGGGTAAATTACACCAGTGTAGCGTTGCTATGTAAATTCACCAAGAAATAGATTTTCTTGGGATTACCGATTCTGGCATGTGGTTCGATATGGTGGCCTTGGGTTGCACTTTCAGCAGTGGAGCTGGTGCAGCTCCAAAGCTTACGGTGTGGCTTCCAGGTCAGGCCCCACGGAGGGCCTCAAAAAGGGCGCGAAGTCTTGGGGAATTACACAACTCTGTTTGCCGTGCTAAGAGAAGCTCTCCGGAGGCACTCAGTCACAGCTGGCTGAGGGGAGCACAAAGTAAAGTGGTCCAGCACCTCGGAACTTCTGTCTGTTTCCGATGCATGTGCCATTCAATCACATACATTCCTTTCTTTTTTTAAATCATTTTACTGGGGGCTCGTACAGTCCTTAGCACAATCCATCCATCCATCCATTGTGTCAAGCACATTTGCCATCATCATTCTCAAAACAGTTGCTTTCTACTTGAGCCCTTGGCATCAGTTCCTCATTTTT